AGTCTGAGACTCTATCGGTGTGTCTCAAGCTCCCCTCCATCAGCACTGTCCTCAATTCGACCTGGTATGCCTTTTTGACAGCGGATGTGTTCCGCTCAAAGCAACGGAGTTGGGAGCTTTTCATACCGCCCACGCAACTTTCGGCTCATTGTCCTGGCAAACTTTGGTTTAGGACCTCTGTCTCCTCGAGAACGAAGTTTGGATTGTCTACGGCTTTGGAACAGCAGATATGGGCAGTGCAGCTTCTCCGACGTTGCGAGTGGCGGTGGCCCAGTATGAGCCCGAATGGCTCGACTTGCCAGCCTCAGTCGCCAAAACATGTGCCATCATCACCGAAGCAGCGAAGAAGGGTGCAAAGATTGTGGGCTTCTCAGAGGCTTTCATCCCTGGCTATCCAGCGTGGATCTGGTAAGGATGTTTCAACTTGTCTTCGTCTTTGAAGACCTCGGCGACCGCTTTTTGTCACAGGATGGTGTGTAACCCGTGGAATCGCATCTAGGCATCGGCCCGTCGATCCAGTCCTGGCGACAAGGTACATCCAGAATTCTTTGGCCGTGGACTCGGATGAGATGCGCACGATCCAGGACTGTGCGGCAAAGAACGGTATCGTCGTGGCCCTGGGGTTTTCCGAGAACGACAACAATTCCGTCTACATCGCCCAAGCCATCATCGACGCCGACGGCAAGATGTTGATGCACCGGCGAAAGTTGAAGCCGACGCACATGGAGCGCACTATCTTCGGCGAGGCATCTGGAAACAGTCTGATGAATGTGGTGGCCACCAAGGCTGGGAAGCGGGTGGGCAGTTTGGCTTGCTGGGAGCATTGTCAGCCGTTGTTGAAGTATCACACCGCAACGCAGCGGGAGGACATCCACGTCGCAGGGTGGCCGCCCCTAAGTCTGCATGGCGGGCCGGAGCTGTGGTCCTTGTCGAAGGAAGGTATGTCGGATTCTCTCTACAAAACCCCAATTCCGCCACGGAGTGCTGAGCTGAGACATCACGGACGCAGGCTGCCAGAATCTCTCACAGACGTACGCCATTGAGACGCAGACTTTCGTTCTCCACGCGACCACCGTGATTGGCACCAAGGGAATCGAACTCATGTCGACCGGCCAGGCTATGCTCATGAACAGCCCAGATGGAGGCTACTCGTGTGTCATTGGACCCGATGGTCGGATTCTCTCAGAGCCCCTCGACTCCAAGTCTGAAGGACTGGTGATTGCGGACATCGACCCCAGCATGTCGATCATGGCGCGCAGCTTCCTGGACATCTGTGGTCATTACAGTCGGCCGGATCTGCTGTGGTTGGGGTGCGATACCCGGGAGAGGAAGCACAAGGTTGACACTCCTCGGCCAGGGGCGGAGGACAAGCTTGTGGGTGAGGAGTGAATAGCGAGTAAGTCCGCGAGTAAGACACTAAGTGCGTATCAAAAATGAAAGGTCTGTTATAATTGTCTCAAATACCAGCATTCGTTCTCCCACATGGCGTCTTGATTCTGCTCGTCCCTTTCTTTTCTTGCCGTCTTACCACAAGATCAACCCGACCGTCCCCAGCACACTGATGCCCAGTCCGATCCACCCACTGACCGTCACCTGCCTGTTCGACAGCATCATGCCCGTGTCCCAGACCAGGTGCCTCAGCCCATGCGCGAGGTGGAAGCAGAACGCGAATCCCCACACACCTTTCATCGCCACCCTCACACCGACGGGGAGTGCCCCGAACCACGCCACCAGGCTCTCCGTGTCCAGGTGCCAGCCCATCAGGGGTGAGACGACGTACGCCGCCCCGAAGATGTAGATGGGCACGGTGAGGACGATGGCGCAGTTTCGCATCAGCCCGCCCGAGAACCATGTGATTTGGGGCCGGTAGATGGAGAGGTGAGGGCTGATGGGGCGGGAGAGGCGGCGCGAGGCGAGGTAGGCGGCATGTTGCGATGGCGTTAGGGGTTTGGTGTGACTGGCTTTGGAGGATGTGCTTGTATATCTACATCAAGGTGGATGTTCAGCCTCTGGTCTCTCCATGGTGCCTGGGGAGGTTGGACAGTTGTATACCTGGTTGCTCGTAGAGGTCTCGGCAAGCTCAGTGCTTGCCTTCCATGTTGCGAGTGAGCCACGTCTCTGCTTCTAAAGCCACAAATGTGTCTAGTTGCTGCTGCCTCTGTCAGGTCTGGTTCGAATGGACGGGGCTCGTGCCTTGTGCTGTAAAGCAAGCCGGCTTTGTCACTACTTACCAAGTATGCATTGATGGTCTAACACTGAAGGTCGCAAGGGTCTCAGACACAACATGATGGTCACTCCGGGGCTTCGGGTGATGAGGAAGCAAGTAGGAGCAGAGGAACAGTAACACCAGGAACATAGCTAGAATTCGAAGATCTCACTTGACATATGAGGCATATGTACCTCGTACAGCACCAACACTCCCTCCTAGCGAGGGTACCATTCCACTTCCCAGGTGCGGGAAAGGATGGGAAATACTCCGCCAGCCTCACCACCATTGCCTGATTGGGGACTAGTGGAGTCTTAGCCACATACTCTAATTGCCGAACAACCAATAATCGATCTTCCGACCGTGATTCCGACGCCTCCACTTTTGTCGCAGTGGCTCTTTTTTTTTTTTGCGACACGCTGCTTTTCACTTCCTTCTCCCACTCCCACTCCAACCCGTATGGTGAGTGGGGGAACGTGCTTTGAAGTTGTCCCCTTTCATTTCCGCGGAGAACACTGGGATGAGAGCCCGATGCAGGCAGGCATGTGAAGCGTGTCGAGCTCGTAAATCGCGCTGTCTGCCAGGCTCAAGCGACGAGGCGTGCAAGAGGTGGGTGGAACGCCGGCCAGCTGCCTATTGTGTTTTCTCTTCCACAGCTGTGAGCGACTACGTGGGGCGGCTCCAAGAAACTTACAATATCCCAGATGCGAAGATGGCGGTGTCGTCTGCGTGCCTCATGAAGCGGTCAAGCGCACGATCCCGCAGAAGAGGTAAGCTGCAAATTAAGGGTAGGAGATTGGGCTGATTTGGGATCAGAGTGAGAGGTCGGTTTTCCAGGAGGCATGATGTGCTTCCATTGCAAGCCTGGGATGATGTGGTAGACAAACGGCATAGTGAGCAACGCCACCGCTTCGATGATCCGTCGACGTCCGGCACGGTACAGCAGTCTGCGTCTACATCGGCATCGGCGCCGTCTGCCCTTGGTGATGATTTAAAGCCATTCGGTAATGTGCTGCTCGCCACACTGGCAGTCAGGGAGCCTTTTCCTGGCGCTTGGGATACCGTTATGTCCGCGTCGATTCACGAATGCGCGACGTTTCTCGAGCGCTATAAAGAAATGGTTGACTTGGCGCCCTTCGCCCTCCACCTACCTCCGTTGACCCTAGATGAACTTCTGTCATCTTGCCCAGTGCTGCTCCTCGCCGCCATCCTCACCGGAAGCAGCGCTGACCCAGATTTCGAGAAGCAAGCAGGCGAGGTGTTTCGCCACGTGCTCGCCGACCGAGTCATTGTCAAGGGACAGAAGAGCATGGAGCTCTTCCAGGGTTTGCTGACCTACATGCTGTGGTATCACCACCGTTTTGATCCCGTGACGCTTCAATTCTACCAGCTCCTGCAACTTGCGAACGGCATGGTCGCCGATCTCGGGCTTCCTAGGAGGTTTGCCAAAGACAAGAGTTTTATGGGCCGAGGGGATGAAGATGTGAATACCAATACCATCCGGGCATTCTTACTGTGCTACTATCTCAACTGTGGTGGCGGCGTGCTGGGGTACGACAGGCCCGAGAATATGCGGTGCATTGAGAGCTTGAGGAACGCCGCGAAGTTGCTGGTCGACATATCGCCACGGCCTCTCGACAAGGAAGCACCAGCGTTTATCGAGCTGATGCACCTCGTCAGCCTGCATCGCGGCGACGGGAATCCGTCGGAACATTATACAAGGCCGTCGCAGGGCCTCGATGAATGGAAAACCGCATATCTGCGCCCCGAGTCCACCGCGACGATGAAGTCGAGCTACCATTTCGTTGCAGCGTACAGCGTCCTGAAGTCCTCGAGTCCCAAGTCCATGTCAGCCGAGGATGTCCGACTGAGCGTCCAGCACTTTGAAGCACTCCTCTCCAACATCCTGAACCAGGGGCTCTGCTATCTCCTGCAGCTGGGCATCATCGAATGGGCGCATTTGATCACCACTTTGTTCCTCCTCGCTCGCCTAGAGAGGCACAATATGTACGACCCGAGCCGAGCAGACTCTCCATCACTTACGCACCACCATGTCGGTCGCTTCCGAGCCCTCATGGCTGATTTCGCGGCGCAGACCGAGCCAGCACTCATGTCCCTCCAAACCCCCCATCTCTTGGAATGGCTCGACAAGATCTTGACTGCGGTCACGCGCCAGGCCAGCGTTGCTGGGCCAACACAAGAACCGCACCTAAATTCCAGCGAGAGTAGCCATGGCCATGACCATGACCACCAGCACGAATCGGCCTATGAGCTCGTCAACTCCTTCATCGATGACAAGGGGCAGGTGCGAGATCTCGATGAGAGGACATCCGCTGTCGGGAGAAGCCATGTGGCACAAAAACAGCAGCAGCGAGAGGCAGAAGACTTTTGGACCGACTTCATGTCGGATTGGTTGAATTGGTAGAATTACAGCAATCCAGAGTCGTTGGATGTAGAACAAGAACAAAGGTTATGGGAGGTACCGATCCCCGTACTTGGTACTACCTCACCCGGGCCCTTTGAATAAGTACGGTATGTAAGATGGTTGGTACTATGGAACTATGTAGATACCAAGTACGAATGTAGCTTTCTAGTACGATACTGTACTTGTACCGAGTACTCGGTACATAAGTTCACTACCTACTGGAGCCAGCACCCTCGCCCAAACCCCGCAGGACTTCTCCCCGTGTCTTCACCAAGCCCCACCCATTCTTTGTTGCAAATATAATGTTTAGCCCTCAAAATTGAGGCTACAAAACTCTGCCACAAATCTCTGTGAGCTGGAGGTTGGCCCGGCCGTGTGGCCTAATGGTTAAGGCGTTGGTTTTCGGTTCTTATGAATTTCGTACACCATTCCCACCAAAGATCGAGGGTTCGAATCCTTCCACGGTCGTTTCTACTCTACACTTCCTACATTTGCGTTCTGTGATGTTGGTTGTGTCTTTTGTTTTTTTGTCCCTTGAACATACATAATATGTTTGGAAACTATATCTTTTTTTTTGTTTTTGTCTCATCCTGGCGCGGATATAGTGCGATAGCGGGTTGTGGGTTGTGGGCTCAATGGTCGTCACGTGGCGTGATTCGCCACAGGTGAAATGTGGTCTGGGTGTTTGGCGGGTGACTTACAGGTGCTATGTAGGTAACAAAGCAGTGGTGACTTAAAACATCCCTCGAAAGTTCACACTCTGTGCCGTTCTACATCGTCCATCTAGGAAAACGACTACAATGCTTGAAAGAGAAGGCTCGACATCAGAGCGTCGTCTTGATAAGTCTTTTCCTCATCAAACACCACCTAATGGGCCTGTATGGATTGCGGTTGCGCTGGAATCGACGTCGACTTGCTCGCTGCAGCCTCAGCGGCGGCAAATTTGGCTGCTTCCTCCGCCTGATTGGCACGGATCTTCTTCAGGAGCTCGGGATACTGTTCGGCGGGTAGAGATTAGCATGGTGCATGGTTCCTCCACGAGGTGTAGAACGGCAGTCTTGAATCTTACCCATCTCTCGCCCACGTCAGGGTGGCTCTTGATCCTGTTCATCAAGGTCGCCTCGCCCAGTCGACTCCACATGCCCTTGATGAATGTAAACTCGATGTCGTCCAAGCGCTGGCCGCCCCTCTTCGCAAGGATGTCTGCTCTCAGCTGCTTCACCGAGTCGGGCACGTCCATGCTCTCGAACGTCGCGTCGTAGCTGACGCCCTGGAAGAAGGGGATACTGTACCGTGCACCGGTACCTCGAGGCGGGCTCTGCACTCTGTGTGTCGTTGACTGGCAGACGCCCTGTGTCAGCGCCTCCATCCCTTGTCCAATGGCCACCACAAATGTCCCGTCGATGGGCGGGCAGTCTACCCATTGCCCATCGCCATTCTGCACCTGCAGTCCACGGTGATGGCTGGCTTGCAAGAGGTAACTCGTGAGCATGCTGTCCTTGTGCGGCCCCACACCCTGCGCCTCCCCTTCAACACCCAACTCCTCCAGATCGGGATACTTGACAATCTTCAACTTGTGCTGCTGCGCTTCGTCGAAGAATTGCGCGAATGCGTCCGGCGACAAGCCGATGGCTTCGGCTATCAGACTCGTGAATTCCATACTCATCTCGCCCATGCGCGCCATATAGTCTTCGTATACTTCCCGGAAGCGCGGCAGCGCGTTGGGGTCAGGCCACTGGTTCGGCGCCAACAAGTTCCTGTACAAGGGGTCATTGGGGCCCGGGACCGGATGCGGCGTCGACAAGTCGACCTGTTCGCGCCAGTCGGTCTTGAACCGCGTGATTTCCATGCCGAGTTTGTTGTAACCGAGAAACGAGGGCGCATTCTTCATCTCAATCTCCAGCTTCTTCTCCTCGGGGAGATCGAAGAAGGCTTTACCCAGCTTAACGACCTCGTCGATCAGGGCGGGCGGGATCCCCGTGTTTTTGATGTACAGGAACCCAACTTCGAGCAGCGCATGGCGGAGATCCACGAGAAACTGCGGCTTCGTGGCCGGGTCCCGCGCCAGCGAGAGATCCAGTATCGGAATGCTGGAGAAAGACATGGTGCGGCACTGGCGGAGTCTCTGCCAATCTTTCAAAGCCGATATTCAACAACCCCGGTATTTCGTTACAGATTTAGCATTTGATAAAAGAAGCACAGGGTTCAGGGAAGCGCTGAGCCTCGGGAGAATTATTGTTATATTTGGAGGCGCGTATCGGATCACGCCATTCCCAGAGTTGCCACAATTGCGGGGGTGACACCCGATTGATTCGTCTTGGTGAAAGATTCCAGAGCCTGGGAGAGCCTGGGAGAGCCTGGAGAGGCTCGACTCGGCCATTGTTGATGATAAGTCTGGGCAATTGGAGTACTATGTACTTGTACACCTCTGCTAAAGACGGTGTGTCTGACCGCAAATACATCGATCAAAGCAAAGAAGGGGCCAAGTCAGATCAGCTAATAGCTTCGGATCTCACCACGTAATACCGGCTTTGTACATGGTGCTTTGGAGAACTTGGTAAGATAGTCCCATCTGGTGACCGTTCGAACCCGACGTCGCAATCTGTCGCAATGGAGTTGTGGATCGACTCATCGCAGGCAAATTTGCATGCCGTTACTCCACCAGACACGCGGCGACGACGTGCCCCAGGCTGGGAAGTGGGTGACACCTAGAAGCCCATGATGACAACAGTGGCGCTCCATCGCAGACCGTAGGAAGTGCGCCGAGCTCTCCAATGATGCTTCCCCAGGCACAAGATTCCGCCGCTTGCCACTTCCCCCACACACAAAGAAAGCGACCTGCCACGAAACCCAATCTAGCAGGTCTAGGAGCTTTCCAAGTTAATAGACAATCCTTTGCGGCGAGGTCGTAGTACCTCCGCATCCTTTTACGTTCATCCCACAAATGACGTCGTATTGGATCCATTGAACCGCTCGACAATCGTCCTATGATGGCGACTGTCACCGATGATCCCGGTCGATGTGACCACAAGGACGAGCAAATCAAGTATGGTATTGCTTGGTCAAATGTAACTGTCTGCAAGAAGGGCGTTCTGTCGGTCTTCCGCTCATTGCCTGGATTGGATGTAGACTTGGACAATTCACTTATACAGCAGGAACTTCCCGTACCTACCAGTCAAGCTCCTCTCTCTGTCACATGGTCGGTACGCTTCTCCTTCATTCATGAGGTAACTAGGGGCCAGAGCTCAAAACCTGGATGGTTCCTGTCATCAAATCTTCCCTTTGTTGTAGCTTCAATCAGCATCATAGCAAGCCCCGTGTCGATTTTCTCTTGGACAAACACAACAAGTAACTACCAGACCGCCTAGGGTAAGTGGGAAAACCGTCGAGAGAGAAGTCGGATCAAACTGACTCCATCAGATGGCTGGATCAAGCCTCACAAGGCTCTTTGGCCTGCTTCTCACCATATGCTTATCCTCCTTCACATCTGCTCAATCTGGCAATGCATCAACCATATACAAGACTCGATTTGAGGGTGTTACCTGGGATGCTGCGAATTGGGTGCTCACGACCACCGAGCTAGATCAAGGACATTATCAATCTCGAATGGTTGTTGCAAATGGCTACCATGGCATCAACGTGGCAGCTCTAGGTCCATTCTTCGAAATTGATACTCCCGTTGACGGTGATAACATCAACGGCTGGCCCCTGTTTGGTCGACGACAAACCTTTGCTACAGTTGGGGGCTTCTGGGACTCCCAACCTACAACCAACGGCTCCAACTTCCCCTGGCTGTATCAGTATGGCTGGGATACGGCCATCAGTGGCATCCCTCACTGGAGCGGCATTGTGGCAGATTTGGGAGGCAACAACTACTTGGCTGCTTCGACTGATGATTCGACCATCAGCAATTTCAGATCTAGCCTCGACATGAAGCGTGGTCTGATGAACTGGGCTTTTACATGGTCTCCAGATGGTCATGGGTCGTTCAACGTCTCCTACCAAATGTTCGCACACAAGCTCAATCTCAACCAGGGCTTTGTTACAATGAACATTACTGCAACCAATGCCACCAACATAACAATAGCAAATGTGCTCAACGGGGACTGTGCTGTCCGGACAACCCCTGGACAGAACGGCATTGATTCTGGGCTCATTTTCACCTCTGTCCAGCCGAACGGCATTCATAACGTGACAGCATTTGTATATGCTGGTATGACCAGCACTGGCGCTACAATACGCTCGGTTCAGCAAGCCACATGGCAGCGGCCGTACGTCGGCAACAATGAATCCTCTGTGGCATCTGCGTTGAATGTCACCCTTCAAGCTGGCCAGGTTGCCACGTTCACCAAATTTGTCGGAATCGCCTCAACCGATGGGTTTTTGACCCCTCGTCCTGTTGCAAGAAACGCCGCACTTGCCGCAAGAGAGGCTGGGTACGCTGCCTCATTGCAGACTCACGCTGCGGAATGGGCAGAACAGTTCCCTGCCTCGTCCGTCGACGATTTCTCTTTTCCAGAGAACGGCACACTGCCAGACGACGAGTTTATCCTCGAGGCAGCAATTACAGCAGTGACAAATCCCTACCATCTTCTTCAGAACACTATTTCACAAAATTCGATCACTGCGACGGCCAATGCGACTAGTTCGTTCAATAGCCACAGCATCGCAGTAGGTGGTTTGGGCTCAGATTCATATGCTGGGCAGATCTTTTGGGACGCTGAGATATGGATGCAACCTGGACTGGTAGCAGCCTTCCCATCGGCGGCAAAGGGTATCGCGAACTACCGCGTGGAGAGGTACCAGCAGGCGAAGCGAAATATTGGCACCGCATTCGCCTCGTCCAAGAACGACACCAAATTCAGCTCCGACTCAGCAATATTCCCCTGGACCAGCGGACGTTTTGGCAACTGTACAGCTACAGGACCTTGCTGGGACTACGAGTATCATCTGAACGGCGACATTGGCTTAGAATTCATCAATCTGTGGATCTCATCTGGTGACACGGCAATGTTTGAGGAGTCTCTCTGGCCGATCTACGACTCTGTTGCCACGATGTACTCGGAAATCCTTGAGCGCAACGGTTCTAACTGGTCTCTCCTGAATATGACTGACCCTGACGAGTACGCCAACCACGTCGACAATGGAGGTTTCACCATGGCTTTGATCTCTACACATCTCAACTATGCCAATCAATTTCGCTCCATGTTCAATTCCACACCCAACGAAACTTGGACCACGATGGCTCAAAACGTGCTGATAGGTCGTGATCAAGACGCGGATGTCACACTAGAATACACTGGCATGAACGGCACGACGGTGGTAAAACAGGCTGATGTCATTCTCAATACTTATCCGCTGTCCTTCACCGGGCAGAATTACACCTCTGAGGACTCGCTCAATGATCTCGACTATTATGCCGCGCTGCAGTCCGTGGACGGCCCCGCCATGACATATGCGATCTTCTCTATCATCGCAAACCAGATATCGCCTTCTGGGTGTTCTTCTTATACCTATCAGCAATACAGCTCGCATCCCTACCTCAGGGGCCCGTGGTTCCAGCTCTCCGAACAATTGGTCGACAACTGGAACGAGAATGGCGGAACGCACCCTGCATATCCGTTCCTCACAGGCCACGGAGGAGCACTGCAAGTCGTCTTGTTCGGATATCTAGGATTTCGCTTTGTTCCCGATTTCAACCTGCACATTGACCCCAGTCTACCGCCTCAGATCCCGCAGATCAGATACCGCACCTTCCACTGGTACGGCTGGCCGATCTCGGCATTTTCTAATCAGACCCATACCACCCTGACGCGAGACGGGAGCCTCGCCCCTGGTGAGGGCACTGTTCCGAACGCCACCTATGCGACCGCTGCCATTCCCGTCGTGGTTGGCCCTATTGGCTCAGCACCCCTTGCCACCTACTCCCTGGCACCAAATTCCAGCATCACAGTCCCCAACAGGCAGATCGGCCTCATCCCCACGACCGAGAACAATGTCGCCCAGTGCCTCCCCGTCTCCTCCCCGGACGACTACCTGCCAGGCCAGTTCCCGCTTGCGGCAGTCGACGGCGCGACGAGTACGAAATGGCAGCCCGTGTTCGCCAACAAGACCAGCTCCATCACAGTGGCCATCCCGGAGGGATTCCAGGTGACAGGAATGGTGTTGAACTGGGGCCAGATCCCACCGTATAACTACTCGGTGTTGTTCCACAACCAGTCCCTCGCAAACCCCTCAGCCGCGACCATCAACTCGAGCAACGTCCTCGAAGTCGCGACAAACGAGCGAGTGCGCATCTCCGACCCTTACAACGTCACGGCGCTGAACTCGATCGAGGCCGTGCAGGACAACATCACCACATTTGACATCCCCGCGACCGCCGGCCCCGTGTTCACCGCGCGCTTCGCCACCCTGCGCATCTGGGGCTCGCTGTACAACTCCAGCGTCAGCGCGACCAACATGACCGGCGACGGCGCGACGGTCGCCGAATGGAGCATCCTCGTCGAGGGTCTCCAGAGTCCCAACGCCAGTGCCACGGGAGGTCCAATTCGGAGAGATTTGGGCGGCAATCTCAAGGCCAGAGACGATTTCGGTCGTCTGGACGCAGACTTGTTGAGGAAGCTGGGCCACGTCGCGAGATATATGAATGTGGATGCGCGGAAGAGGCCCGCGAGGTGAAGAAGAGTGCGTGTATCATCCCTGATCGAGAGAAATGAAACGGAGGGAGACACACTCGCAGTAGAAGGCAGGAGAGATGATGAACGAGAACAATTGTGCTTGATCAGAATGAAAACCCGGATAGGTAGGACAAAAGTCACATTGATCAAGTTTTGCTTGCTCTCTTATTGTGGAAGTTTACGTGGTTCACCATCTTGCCATTCCACCAACAATGCCTCGTCGACCAGTGTGTCAGTCCCATCATTGATCACGTTTACTTCGTTCGTCCACCACGCATGCCGTTTCATTTCCCGCGGAATGAACCAATTCCATATGCATCAGGCTCCAATGCGCAGAAGTACATTCACGCGTCTGTATCTGGAGGTTCGTTCGTGACCAGGATTCCCCAATTGTCCGTCATACGAGAACTCGCGGTCGTGCATCCTGCTCTCATGTCCCCAAGCGGCCTCCTTCGGGTAGATCGCCGAGTCGTCCGGGCGCAGGAGAGCGATTCCACGTAGCGCCCTTCTAGGACGCTTAGTGACAAAGGCGTGCGTGGCCCATGGTTGATCGAAGAAACGAATAGTTGGTTGCTGCAATTCTGCCCTCAAGTAGGGGGCCTTGACCAGCCCGTTTTCTCGTTGTGTATCAAGATCTTTTGAGATGCAAGTGTAAAGGTTTGGTGGTGTGATGACCTTTGCGTAGGTTTGCCTGGTATGCAATTTCTGTGTCGGGTTTCACCAGCGTCCAGAATAATTCGATGGTACAGATGTTTATACAAATGTTGTAGTGTTTCTTGCTCGAGCGATACAATATCGGTGTCTGATGAGTTGCGGAGATTGCTTATCCAGGCCTGTTGTAGCTTTCTTCAGCCAGGTGTTGTGTCGGAGAACATTGCTGGTTTCTGGAAGGTAATGGCAACACCAACCGTCCTGTCAGAATGGCCATCTCTGTGAGCCTTCTGGCGAGAATCATCGGTACCGTTTCCCGCCTGCCATGTATGGCAATCTTCGGGGCGTTATTCTGAGCCCCTGTCACATGTCGTTCGGTCCGGCGCCACCACCCTCCATCCTGCCCCTAGCCTCTCCCAGTAGCGCTTCTTGCATCTTCCTTAGTTCCTCCTCTCCCATTTTATCGAACCCGCCGAAGTTGCGCATTTTCTCGCCTCTTCCGATTCTCTTCTTCTGCACCTCTTGCCATTCGCCCACAACCCCGCGGCAGCCTTCGATGTAACTTCCAAATCCCAGGTCGGTGAGCGCTTGTTCGACATGTTCGACGCTGATGGTTTTTTTGGACTCGCGCTCAGAGATTTCGTTTGACTCGGAGGAGAGCATGCGTAGGAACTCGAGTGAACAGGAAATGAGGAGGTCGCGGGCCGGGCGCGTGAAGGTCATCTCACCTTCCTTACCACCGTTGGTATCGTCATGAGGGAGTTGTGGTAGGATTTCAGAGATGATCTTTTGAACGGTAGCCTTGGGAAGAGACAGGTCGTCGTTGTCTGTCAAGAGGTCAGTAATTATGCGCCAACAGGTTTCTTGGGTCTTTTGGGGTCGCAACATACTGCCAAATTCTTTGTCCGACATGATGACAGAAATTGTATCTACTTTTAGCGTAGGAGGTGTATGCGTCTAGGGTCTTTTGAAGTCTCACGGGCCCAGCCCAGGTGAGGACGAGGGGGAGGAATGAGGGTGTTAAATAGAAGTTGCGACATGATGCGCGACCAGGGCGCGGCCGGCCTTCCGAAACAGGAAACGCGCAAATTATGTCTTGGCACAGAGTCAATTTCTTTTTCTTCGAAGTTGCGTTTTGTTTTCACTTTTGATTCTCTTCATCACAACGACAAACAACCATCTACACCAATGATAATGCTTATGGTGACGGTTTATCCGCATGTTTGCCATCAACATTGACGAATGAATCTGCCCTCGATGGAGCGACGAGACTTTGAACAGACTACAGCTCGTTGTAGATCGGTGTACTGACTGATAGACGTGATGTACAGAGGAGGTCCCCCTGATACTGATCAACATGCTGGTCCATGCCTGGTAAGTGGCTCTTGTCCTCGTCTTCCCTCACACATCTCCAACATGATGAACATTCGTGTCGCCCCTATCTTACCAAATTATGGTGATTACCCGTCCAAACCCAAACAGGACCTTCTGAACATTTCTCATCTCCCTTTAAACTGCTGACTACTGTTGACTGTACGTGGTTACTGACGTATTACAGACTAACAATAGACCTCTTGTCCTTGTCAGCGGGGAAGCTGATGTGGTGTATGTTGGCTCCGTCTCTATCAATTCCCTACCCGATTTTCAATGATGATCAACACTATGTACTATCAAATTCGGAAATGCAATTGACGAATACACTGGTTCGATTACCTGAACGAGACTCGCCCTACATCACATCATTTGACCTTGTTTGGTTCCGGGGACATTGCCTAACTGTGGACTTAGAAGCTTAGGAGCATTATTGTCGCAAGACTGTTACTTCTTCGTGATTGTAAGTCCCACCAGTTATTCCAACCAAGTTCTTCGTGATGAACTCACCACTCTTCCATGCTAAGTATGAAGGTCCGCTGGATTCTAATGCTTAAGCTTGTGTATTCATTTTTCATCTTTCGCCTGACCCTCAAACCTTTCCCTCTATGTCTGCTCTATCTTCTTCTCGATATCTGCTGACAAGGGGAGAGCAGATGGTACCGAGTACTATTCCAATCGTTCTATTGAATTTTTGGTCAAGTATGAATTTCTGGATCATTTGTACAAATCAGTTTTCGATCGGTAGCGGCACGGTCGGCTCATGAGGTCCCGAGGCCTCGTCGATTTCGATCGAATTCGTGCACTACTCAACCTGGTAATCGGCGAGTTGGGGATCATCCCAACTTTGAGATATGTCAATGAAGATTCCATAAGCAACACTAGGTTCATAGAAACTTACCTTAGAAACAATCCCGATAACTCGGGTTTCGCCTCCACGGCCAATTCCGCAATCACATTCCCTGGTTTCTCCGGCGGCAAGAGTTTCCCGTCCCTTTTCGCGCTCAAGAACTTCTGTTGGTCCTTATCGTCCATGTTGCGAATGAACTTCTCCCTGATGTCCGTCTGCATGGCCGTGTCAACGACCCCGGGTCGAATTGATATGGTGGTTACATCAGGCTCTTCCGCCTTCAACGTCATGGCCAGGTGGTTGATGGCTGCTTTCGTGGCGCCGTAGACTCCCCACGAGGGATACGCGTTCATGGCAGCGCCCGAGGATGTGAAGACGATGCGGCCCTTTGCGCTGCGGAGGAGCGGGAGTGTTTGTTGGATCTGAGGGGACGTTGTGATCAAGAGTTAGAGTCGTGAAAACAGTAGTCGATGGTGGGTGAATGTAGGAAGCCTCTTAGACTGATCTTACCAAGACAACGCAGCTTGTCACATTGATCCTGAACGTGCGTTCCCACTCGTCGCTATCCATCTGCCCTATCCGCAAGCACTTCCCCAAGGTACCGTGGTTCAGAATCAGCCCGTCGAGTCGACCGTCAAACTGCACGTCTCGCAGCATCCCTTGGACGAATTCAAGGTCAGCCATGTCTCCCGCCCTCGTGATGACCCGGTCTGGGTTGTCAGACTGGAACTTGCTGAGCACATCAGCCTTGCGCCCGGACAGGATGAGGAGGTGCTGATCGCGTGAGGACAGGAGGTGCTTGGCGATGGCGAACCCGATCCCGGCCGTCGCTCCGGTCACGAAGATGGTGCGAGAGGAGGGATATTGAGTCTATCGAGGGGAGGTTGTTGTTAGAAGAGCAAGCATGTCCGAGAACCACCATGTTCAATGTTTGATGAGCAATATATGCTTGAGCAAGAATTTGTATCAGAGACATACGCGGTGCTTCGATATGAAGTCCGACAAACTTCCAAAATGATTCTTTTCGGCAGACATTGTTGATATGTGGATCTGCCTCGTGAACTTCCAGGCCCTGAAACAATAACGAGAAGAGAAGATGTTGAAACTGGTCAAGCAACTCCGTGAATATAGCAGCATCAAATCACACTTTGGTTTCGTAGAGAGTTGCACAGTTTCACTACAACCAAGTCGAGGCAAACTTTCGAGTCGGACATGTCCATATCAATCCATTGCACGAATGACGTCAATGCCCTTGGGGACTCTTGTCACTTTATTCAATCTGTTGTTGTCCTTCAATCCTCATCGTCGTTCATGCGTACAAGAACCAGCATCAGCACAGAGAGACACATGGCTTCCAATCATCCAATCGCCTCCGGAGATCCATTCCAAGGCTGGTTCCCTGCACCAGGTGAAGTCCCATGTCCCTCGATTGCGGGCGGAGTGAAGACTCCGAACTCCGAGAAGCGGGGACAAGCACGACAGATGGTGAGGTTTCTCTGGGGAATGACGGACGGCGCGAATACCATGGGACACTTATACAAGTCGCCTTTCGGCCCGAGGCACCGTTTTGTCAGCTTGACTTGATGGATCATTTCTCTATATAACTGTGACAGGATAGTGCTGTATCCGGACTGGCTTCTTGAGCAAAAGACAGTATACATCACAACCCCAGCGGAAAGATCTATCGCCACCATGGCCGCGAAATTCGAAAGGCTTGTCAGGTTCAAGGCCGCGGACGGTCAAATTTATTACGGCGAGGCCGGTTCAGACTGGGAGTCCGATCTCAAGGGGAGGGAAGTCCAGATCTTTTCGGGCCTGGATCCCTTTGACAGCAATTTCAAACTCCTGGACAAGAAAGCCGTCATTTCTGAGGTGGGGGATGTGTGTCACGTTCTTGTATTTCTTGCTCACACATTCCAGGTCTTGAGCCCTCTGGAGAAAGTGCCGCTCACTATCGGTATAGGACTGAATTACAGGAAGCATGCTGAAGAAGCGAACGTAAGTGGGCAAGAGAACATTGAGCATTTCCCTGGTGGGCCATTTTGACGTATAATTCAGTTTCCAATCCCAACCTTCCCCGTTGTCTTCACCAAATATTCAGGTAAGCACCTTTGGCTCGTTGTGTTCGGGCTCTCTGCTAAATAGACCGCAGATACCTTGGCCGGACCATTCGAGGACATCCCTATCAATCCGGAGGCAAAGGACCTTGATTACGAAGGCGAACTCTCAATTGTCATCGGCAAGGATGCGAAGAACATCTCCGAGGATGAAGATCCCCTGAGTTATGTCCTGGGCTATACCGTGGGCAACGACGTCTCGTCCCGTTACTGGCAAGCCCCTGCAAGGTCAGGAGGTCAGCACGGCCCAGCCAAATCTTTTGACAAGTTCGGTCCCATCGGTCCTGTCATCGCTTCGCCCAAAGCCGTCGTGAACCCCGAGGGCCTCAGACTACGCACTTGGGTCAACGGGGAATTGAGACAGGATGGCAACACGGACGATTTGATTTTTGGGATCGGTGCCATCATTCGACATTTGGCCAGAGGCACGACGGTCAGAAAGGGGACGGTGATCATGACAGGCACTCCGAGGTAAGTGCTGGGAGCAAAGACGCTTGATCTTTTCCATCACTAACAGATTGAAAGTGGTGTGGCCGCTTTCATGCAGCCAGCGGCATGGCTCCGACATGGCGACACTGTATCGATTGAGATTGAGCGCATTGGCAAGATCTCGAACAAGATGGTCTTTGAGAGCTGATCGAGAGGTCCTGGGAAAAAGCTTGGGTCACGGACGTCACGTTACTCACGAGTCTGATCTGATATCTATTCCACTGCCAAAACCAATATATACCTTTATACTTGTCGAGATGGTGCTCTCTTCCCGCGGTTTGGCGCGTACCAACCCCCAACATCGGGGCATGTTCTTGTGCGCCTCTCTCCGTTTTCTGATCGGCAGCCCAGCGTCGAATTGGGCTCTTCGGTCATCTCTAAGGAGAGGCAACCTCAGGTCGTGCTCATGCTGTAAGAACGAAAAGGAGTAACAGCAAGCAGAGCTCTTCAGTTCAGTACCAGATGCAGTACCTCCTCATTCCTCCCTTTCCCCAGTGCTCAGTGAAGCTCCTGTGCATTATAAACCAGACTTTATAGCCACCTGCCACCTCGGGATCAACCGAGGCTGGAAGCACGAATTGAGGCAAGAAGTAAATGCCAATGGCAAAGGCCACGCAACCACCAAGAAAACTTGCTCGGGCTTAAACACCATCATCCAACTTCTCCCGAGATACCGAATCAGGAAGTTCGGGGTTTGGGGGAAAGATGGCGGTCTTCATGGACCGCTCGTCATTACGAATCATGCTCAACTTGTTCTGGAAAGGCCATGTTCCTTCCACCCACAGAAGAAGAGGTTCTCGTTTAGAGCTATGGATTGGTGGCACCACTTCTCACAGGCGTTCTTGAGCATGTTCCTGGAGAACCACAGACAGGGAAGAATCGATCTCGACAGCCACTGAGAGTTGCAGATGATCAGCACCAACCGTTTCAGCCTTGGAGAGCAGCCCGGAAATCTCTCCTCGTCCATGATGACCCCGCAGACCGAAAATTGTGCCGTCGCACTGGATTGGAGCAAGGTTTTGCCGATCTCCCAGTTTTCTGCAGATAATGGCGAGCGATTCTGTCGCGATTGCATCTATCAAGGGGAAAACCCCGTCCAGAAAATGATTCGTCAGCGACACTGAATATGGCGTGGGAGCTTGTGACCACCTGATCGGAAACCACTGCTTTCGGCATCTGAGAAGGGCAGGGAGGGGTACGATGGAAACATGCGCATCCTATCTCATGCCGTCATGCTATCTGTCGCAAGCTTCCTCGGACCTATCATGCTCTCGACCTCAATCGCCTCCAATTGGACATAGCGATTGGGGGTAGTTTGCGCCGGTTCCAACGACAACGAATGGGATCAAGACTTTGCATCTCAGAAGGATTCCTCCCAGTATTTCCTACCCCTCTGCCGCTAAGGTCTTGAGGGTGATGTGACGGCGAAAAGAACCTTTGAGACGGACATTCACGGCAAGAATGATACCTCGATCTACTAGAGGTTGTGAGGGTGTTCACGATAACCATAGTCGCGGCGAAGGATGGCACGCGTGGCCATGGTTTTTAGTTCCTCTACTACCAACGAGTCTATGCATTCCTGGTTTCCTCCCTCTTGTCACTCCAGGAAATCTGCTCTCTACTAACTGACTAACGAGTTCAACATCCTATGATGCTCCGACATCTGCTTCTAGCTGTCATCTCTGTTGGCGGTCTCGTCACCGCGCAGGACGGGGACATCGTCGAGACGCTCAATGGCATCGCCGAGCTGTCAGACCTCGTGACGTATCTGTACAGTTTCCCCAACCTCACCCTGTGGCTGCAGGGACTGTCCGACATTACCTTCCTGGCTCCCAGCAACGATGCGTTTGCCGCGTTGGCCGACTCCTCGACCATTCCGAGCATCCCGCTCGACGAGACCGACGCACACGCCCTGATGAGCTACCATGTCCTGGACGGGACGTATTACGGATTCACTTCGGACGAATACAACCTGGTCACGACGGCGTTGTCCACGTCCGGATACACGAATGTGACTGGAGGCCAGATCGTCGCTGCGAAAGGCTCACCCTGGTCAGACGCCATCACGTTTACGTCGGGAAAACGGCAGATGTCCGAGACGGACGGGGTCGCGTTCAACTTCACTGGCGGCGTTGTCTACGTGGTCGACGCGTTCCTGAGTCTCCCTCAACCCTTCAAAGCGACCGTCGACGCGGAGAAGATGCTCGGGGGATCCGTGTTCGCCGAGGCGGCCGTGCTCACGGAGAGCGGCGAGCGTCTGAGCGTCAACGACCTGTCCGACGTCACGGTCTTCCTGCCCATGAACTACTCCTTCCAGGAAATCGGCAGCGTGATCGAGAACATGTCCTGGACCGAGCTGGAGCGCCTGGTCTCGTACCACGTCGTCGACCGCGTCCTCGACATCAACCCGCAGTCGCCGCCCGTCGGGCAGTACTCGACGTACGAGGGCTCCGAGGTGTCCATCTTCAGCCAGAACGGCTTTGTGTTTATCAACAACGCCAGGATCGTCGGGTCGGCCGACTGGATTTTTGGCGGCGGCATGATCTACACCATTTACGGGTACGTAGAGAGTATGGCGAAATACCACAGACACCCTTTTACTATTCCCCTGTCCCCCATCTCCGCATGATGCTCCCCGTTTTGATCCCGTTTCCCCTTACTCTTGGTCCCCGTGTGATACGAGAGATACTGACCAAACGATGCTATAATAAGAGTCCTCAACCCGGACAACACAACAGTCGACCCGAGCATCAACGACGCCGAAATCGCCTTTGCCGACGCCACCTTCATCCTGGACCCGACATTCCCTTCTGCCCCGGGTGCCCCGACGAGCTCTACGGGATCCAGCTCTGGGGGCGGTCTCTCGCGCGGAGCCAAAGCCGCAATCGGCGTCTCCGTCGCGGTGGCCGCCATCCTCCTCGTCATCTTGGCCTTGTTCATCCGCGCGCGACGACGCCGCACCGCCCGAGACCTCGGCGTGGGACTCGGCACGAAGCCGTCGCGCAAGAGTTCCCAGTATCCGTATCCGACACAGTACCCATACGCGACGCAGTACCCACTCAAGGACTTTGAGCTCAAGGAGGTGTCGGTCTCGCACAGCGAACTGGTCGCCAATGCAGCGGCGCCGGCGCGGGTGCCGCTCAAGGACTTGGATCTGACGCCAAATGTCAGCGTGTATTCGTTGCGGTAGCACGCACTGCACTGTACGCACTGCACGACGCTGTGGGACTGCGGGACTAAGACGGATGGATTGGATGGGTAGGCTAAAGGTAGGTCCAAGGTAAGAAGTGAATGTTAGACGGTCAACCAGTCTCCCTGCCAGCTAGCTACGTTGGAGTTTGAGCTTAGAAAGGGGCCGGGAGATGGAGCTAGGGAATGGGAATGGGGGACGGCAGAGGAAGAGAGAGAGATAGAGGGCGTTTGTCAGAAAAGGACTTTTATTGCCCGCCTTTGTGGCGGTGAATGAGGATGAGGATTAAGGAAGAGGATGAGGAATGTCATTACGATTGAAATGTCTTCTGCATATCTACGCATCTACATCTCTACCCCAGCATCTATGATCTATCTGCATATATACCTACATAGCTAGCCAGCTCGCCAGCCTGGCCCATCTCTTTCTGGATATACATATCACATCTACATATCTAAATTATCTACGTATCAAGCTCCCTAGCAATCTAGCCGACTCTAGCCAACCTAGCCAGGCATCTATCTATCCAGCAATAAATATGTCTCTGAACAAGGTTCTTGCAATACCTTCACCACGGGAGGGCCTCGCTGAGCCACTATAGCTCGTTTTCCAGGGGTATACAAGTTTGCGTACAGTACCTACCTACTCTATCTAGGTGCCTAACCTGTCTTTCTAGTTATCTTCCTGTCCCACGCACCCGCCGATGAAGGGTTGTATTCATTCACCTCATAGATGGACCGTTAAGTTTGGGACGTACGATGTCACTCCAGAACCCATGTCCCACTTGTCCAACCAACCACGCCTGAACCAGTCAGTCCACATGCATGAGATGAGATGTTGCTTCCGCTCTAGTGTGTAGGTGGTTACACGAAAGGAAAGGAAACGTATATCAGACAGATTTTGGTAAGGTATATATGTACGACGACGACGGCGGCGACGAAGAGGAGGAGGAGGAGGACCAGTAGTACACAATAGTACACAATAGCGCCAGTAGTACCTAGTAGTACCTAGTACTCGTCCCTGCGGTCGAAGTAGGATATCCGACACCCAGACAATGTAGCCAGATCCAGTACATACCCATCTCCAACTAGCACAGTGTCCCATCTCTCCAGAGCCACAAGGACCATGGGACCATGGCAGCAATAGGCGCACAGGAGCTAACTATCTCTCGGTATACCCGCCATCGACGAAGAGCGCCGTGCCCGTGACGAACGAGCTCCTCCCCCCGGAGAGGTAGACGACGCCGTCTGCGATCTCGCGCGGCAGGCCCGCGCGCTTCATGGGCACGGCGTGCGCGACCATGTCGGTCATGGTGTTGCGGATGAGCGGGTCCGAGGTGTTGTTGGTCATGGGCGTGTCGATGTACCCCGGGCAGATGGCGTTGATGCGCAGCCCCTGCGACGCGTAGTCCTCGGACGCGGAGCGCGTGAGGCCCAGCACGCCGTGCTTCGAGGCCGTGTAGGCCGTCGACAGGGGCACGCCGACCGCGCCGAGGATCGAGCCTAGGTTGACGATGGAGCCGCGCTGGAGGGCCCGGCCGTCGATGCTCGAGGCCAAGGGCTCCTGCTTCAGCATGATCTGCGCCGCCGCCCGGAGCACGAAGAACGTCCCCGTCAGGTTGATGTCGAGCACGCGCTGCCAGTCCTCGGTCGTGGCAAACGCGGCGCCGCCGGCGTGCTTCTTGGCCACCCCCGCCGCGTTGACGACGTAGTCGAGCCGGCCGAACGTGCGCGCCACCGTCGCCACCGTCTGGTTGACTTGGTCCTCGTTGCGCACGTCCACGACGTACACCTCGACCCTGCACGGCGCTTTCGCCTTGGTTCCCCCTTCGCTGCTTTGTTGCTGTTGTTGTTGCGCCTCGATCTCGGCCTTCACCGCGAGCAACCCGTCGTGGTTCAGATCCAGCAGCGCCACGCCCGCGGCCCCGTCGCGCGCAAACGTCTTTGCGCACTCCCTGCCGATGCCTGATCCTCCGCCCGTGATCAACGCGTACCCGGGCACATCCATTGTTTTGCCTTGCCTTTTCAAGAACACTTGACAGAACAGGAACACGACCAGAGAATATCACACAAGAAAAGAGAACCTTTTTCGAATATGTACTACGGGCGTCTAACGATGCGGAGACGCCAGAGGGTGCGGCAGGGTGTTACATGCGTGTGATATATGGCAGACATCTCTCCGCAGATCCTATCCGACATACCTCGGGTCTCCGCTGGGATCGCAGAAGGGCGAGGGGGAAGTTGGACAATCACTCAGTGTACCTGTATATTCCACCTGACATGCGGTCTAGGAGGTGAATGAACTGGGTACTATTGGTCCCAAGTCGAGATTGGTACTCTGCAATCTTCCTCAGGTGGCTGAAGTACATACATAAGAAGTAGTTTGGCCGAGATGAAGAGTCGAGTATGTACCTCGTACGCATGTTGCCTCCACGGTCCACATTTCAAAACAACCAGTGGGACCCAACAGAGGGATTCCTCTCCAATACATATGGAATACCCAGCCCTCGATCTTGTTGACGACTAGCTAGTCTTGAACATCGCCTCGTCTCGTCTTTTATGTTCCCCATCGGAATATGCTTCCCAGATATGCTTGGACTTCACGATAATATTGCTCGTGCTGTGCCGGAGCCTAAAGCTTTGACAATTTCCTCGTCGGACTTGGGAGACTTGACCAGAATCAGGATGCGTAGGGAAGCGGGAACAGTAGCTGGGAGAGCCATGCCCACATGAATTGGCTGAACGCGGAGACTCGAAATAAAACAAGACAGCAAGAAATGCATAGCCACGGCTAAATCTCGAGAGGCACATCAGGACTGGGGACCTTGACGCCGCCCAGTCCTGAGGGCTTATACGAAGACTGATTCTGTACCTCCATGATAGCAATATTTCTGACCTCGCGGTACAGTCATTATATTATCGGCTGTAACTCTAGGATTCAATACCTCACTCCCTCCGCTCCTTGTCCACCCTCATCCTCAGCCCCCATCCTCACCACGATGCCAATGATGGTGGCCATCCACAATAGTCCAATCGCTGTGGAAAATCAAGAAAAAAAAAACATCCGTAATACAGCGCCATCGCTCAAGTCCAATACTTCGTGTCGGGTATCGCTGGCCCCTTTGAATCCAGATTATAACAAGTAACAGGGTATCAATTATCATCTCTTCCGTGGCAACAAGTGTCCTCCCATACCCTTAGTCTATCGTGTTGACTCATGTGCTGTGTTGCGGTACCAAGATCCCGCGTTTAGTGCCTTGGTGGAGGAAAATGTCGGGACTGATCATCCCTTCCGGAAAGCTCGATGTGACCTCTTGCTCTAATGTCGAGGCCTGGGGGAAGTCCAGCTTCGGGAGTAGCGGCCGTTTCGCTTCTTTCTGTTTCCCAGGAGCGTTCAGGACTCGCTCCACTAATCGAGCTCCCGATCTGACTGAGTCGGTGCAGAAGTTGTTCCTGAAGAGGAGATCATGGTTGAGGTCCGGCTGTGGCCAACTCTGCGGCGTTCCTGCTGACTGTGACCGCGCGTAGCCAGCCTGTAGCATACGGGTCGCGCATCATGCAACCTTCTCGTGCTGGGTGGACACGCGGTTCAACGACACAACTGCGAAGCATACGTTAGTCAACTCACTCCACACTCTCTCAAGGGCCAAACTCACGGAAATCCTCCATGTCTCTCTTCTTGAGCACCTTATTGCTCCTCGTCTTCCGCCCATGCACAATGTCATCAAATGTGACGCTGTCTTGCAAAAGGTAATAGACGCCAGCCATGACGCAAAAGACCCCGAAAGAATACAACCAGATCCTCACCACACCAACAATGCTGGTCTGTTGCCCACCGACAAACCAACCGAAAAGACAGAAGAATGTTGCGAGAATGTCCACAAGTAAGATGGCACCCACGAGCTGCCAGGAAGGGATGCTGGACCAGAAGGGGCCATTAGCGCGGGTGATGAAAATCAGCCAATTTTCAGAGAGGCAGATCTGAAGAAACAAGACAGCGTCCGTGTGCCCAAAGTTCTGAACGATACCACCATCGTGCCCGCCCACAATCATCGTCGTTAGTGCGATCCAAGTCCCGGCAGCGAGCACAATTCCCAATAGAATGGACATGCCCCATAGTTTGGGCAGATTCCACTTGACCGGCGTTTTCGAATATGGCGCATTGTCGTAGGCAATTGCCAGTGTGGCGATGTCGGCAAAGATAGCAATAAAAACCACCAACTTAAGGTTGAGCGACTTGTTCAGAATGGCGATCCACAGGCCCAGGAAGATCTCCAGATGAAGTGACAGAGCAATGCGGTAAACGACGTATGCGTACATGCGGTGGAATATTTGGCGCGACGTCTTCAGGGCGTCGATGATAGCCGAGAGACCAGGCGCGAGGAAAACAATGTCTGCTGCTGATCGAGCTGCATCAGTTGCGCCTTGGACCGCGATACCGGTATCCGCCTTCTTCAACGAGGGCGCGTCGTTGACCCCATCGCCAGTCATTGCCACCAGATAACCTCTTTGCTGTAGGATTTCGACAACGTTGTACTTGTGCTGGGGGAACACTTCGGCAAACCCATCTGCAGCCTCAACAAAGTCGTAGACTTCGGAGCCCGGCATCGTCCCGCCACCAGCGAGTCCAAGGCGCTCTGCGTTGAAGACATTGGTTCCAAGTCCCAACTGTCGAGACATTTCTCGGGCGATACCGACGGCGTCACCAGTCAACATCTTGATGGACAAACCCAACGATTTGGCTTCGTTGATTGTTTTGGCGGTGTCATGTCGAGGCGGGTCTGCACAAGGCATAATCCCCAGAATTTCCCACGAGTTGTCACCTCGCTTTCTGGCCACACCCAGAGAGCGAAAGCCTCTAGCTGCGAACTCTGCGACCTTGTTTTTGTATGCGATATCAATTTCCTCGGGAATGGGATGGTCATCTTCCACTGTGCGGAGCACAAATAGCGGCGAGCCCTTGACGCAAATTATGCGCTCACCCTGAGGTGATTCGACAACGGTGCTGACCTTTTTCGAAACTGGGTCAAATGGATGGAATTGGATGACTTTGTACTTGGATAAGGCCTGCTTAGCTCGAGGGTAGTACCGCAAGGCTTTGAGAAATGCCTTATCGATAGCATCCATGCCCTTTTTCTTCCGGGACGCCGCCAAACACGCGGTGAGCATCATATCCTCGGGATCAACACCATGCACCGTGTATGGCTCGTGAAGGGAGAGTTTGTTCTTGGTCAAAGTCCCCGTCTTGTCCGAGCAGAGTATCTCCACGCCGGCAAGCGATTCAATGGCGGATAACTTCTGGACGATGGCCTTCTTCTTGGCCAGGTAGGCTGCGCCGACAGCCATGGTGGTGGTGACCACGGCAGGGAGACCGACAGGAACACCGATAATGGTGATCGCCAAGGTAAATCTGAGGATGGTGACAATGTCGTTAGATCGATAGAATGACGATATCCAAACCACGAGTAAGGTGAAAACCACGAGCGCAAGCAACACTGTACCGATACCATTGAGGACTTCGGTGAAATGGCCTGAGCCACCTGATGCGGCATTGACCAAAGCGGCCGCTCGGCCGACAAAGGAGTTGTCTCCCGTTGCCGTTACAATCATAAAGGCGGTGCCTCGTTTCACGGCAGAGGAGGCATAGCAGGTATCGCCCAGATGCTTGTCCGCGGCGAGGGACTCGCCCGTGATGGAGGATTGGTCGACTTGAAGGAACGCATCTTCAGTAACGAGCCGGCCGTCAGCGGGTATGATTGTGCCTTCTTCAAGTTGTAGAATATCTCCAGGAACCACCATAGGAGCCTCGATTTCGATCAGGTGGCCTTCTCTCAGGACGACAGCCTTCAGAGCCAAGGTCTTCTTCAACTCTTCGACGATAGAGCCAGCTTGAAACTCTTGGATAAACCCGACGCTGGCATTTAACAGGAGCAGCGCACAAATGACGCCAAAGTCCACCCAGTCTTCAAGACCAGCGGCGAGGATCGCAGCAGCCTGTGGGACAAGACATCAGTATAAGCATCGCCGAGATGGGTATCGGCGTAATGTTGCAGTGGGTAGCCCTACCTCCATGACAAATTGAATGGGACCAACAAAGTATCCCAGGAACTTCAGCAGCAAATTCTCTTTCTCTTCTTTCATTTGGTTTAGCCCGAATTTCTTTCGCCTGGCCACTACTTCGGGCTCGATCAATCCCACCCGCGTGTCGGTCTGGAGCATTTCCTCGGGCACATTTCGCGCACCCGCTGCTGTCTCGATGTCGGCTTCAATATCAGCATCTGGGTCGAGTGATTCCAACTCTTCAATAAGCGCATCCAGATCTTCCTCCTCATCGTCATCGTCCTTTTCCAATCTCGAAGCCTTTCGTGGGGTGAACATGACGTCGGGTTTCTCGTCTGGAACAACATCGTTCACGGTGACATGGAGAGGGTGAGGCTTATCGGGCGAGGAATGGGTCGAGCCCGAGGAACTAACGTCTGAAGAAGTGTCTACCATGTTGAGTAAATAGGAAGAGGTTAACGGTGTGGGCTATATCGACTCCATTGGGGGTGAGATGAATACGGCGTGAGGAGGTGGGCGCCAGAAGAAAGAGTCGTGGAAAGGCAGTCAAGCGAGGGTTCTTGATGTGAGGAAAGCGTAGCACCGTGGTCGCAGCCTTCAATTTCAGGTCGCACGAGCTTCAAAGGAAGGACACAATGATGACTCTGTACAGGTTGTAAGAATATTGGGGAAAGCGCCATGAGCCCAAAGTCAAAGAAACAAAGTGGTAAGAGAAGAATGAGTGAATCTCAGAGGCGAAAGGATCAGGACTCCGACGTTCACCCCCGCAATCTTGGGCCAATCCCTTCCACAACGGGTGGTGACGGCTATCCCTCTATTCCCCTTAGAAGCTGATTGAGCGGAACCAAGCCCTATTTGAGCCCCAGAACCAATCGCTCACGCCATCCCAAGTCAGACTTGTCATTATCTAGACTTGGCAATGTTCCTTCCAAGACACAGAAACGTCGGGTGACTGAGGCGGTGTCGGGCGCGGAAGCCTTGTCTGTGGGGGGCTTGGTTGTCTGATGATAAGGACAAGAAAAAGGGGACCCATAGCCTAACAAGACAAGAAAAATCACAGAGAGGGGCGATTGGTGCGATGTCAGATGGATCTCTCTATTTTGTACAGAATATCATCTCAAAAGCCCATCCACGTGTCGCAGCACGTGGGAACGAGAACACGTTGAGACTGGTAACCAAGTGGTAACCAATCCCACCAGGGTCAATAGGTGTCGGTGAGCAACACCAAGCCTGTCACCTTGTAAAAACGCATCCTTTGATTATCCATACATACGTCGTCGTTCCCGAATCTGCCCTTGTCAAATCTCAATCCTGTGTTCCCAATCGAACTGACAAGGCCTCAATGCTAGCAGACGAGAACGACCTTACGAGAGCCTGCATTGTACTAGTTGAATAAAGAAAATTGCTTCCATCACAACCGCCTCCAATTTTGGGGTGTTCTGTGCTGGTGACCAACTCCTGAATATGCTTGATTCATACATATCGATTGGGTATCATGCCTGACCATCAACACTTGGTACCGGTAACGACAATAACGCCATTTCTGCCTGTGTGCAGTTTCGATCTGCCGGTCAAATCGAGTGGCCGTGTGCCTTTTAGTCCTGCTTGCCTTGCGGTTGGAATGCGGACATCTGGAATCCAGGCGGGAAGCCGGGCATTCCGTTGGACATGTTGCCAAAATTCATAGGGAAAGGCATTGACGGCATAACACCAATGTTATTGGGGTTGCCTGCGCCTTGGCGATCATCCCGGTCCATGCGGCGATCATTGTCTCTGTATCTGTTGTCGTCACGTCCCGGATGCTGGCGAGAAGATTGAGGCCCGCGTCGTCCGCCCTGATCAGTAGCAATACGTCGACTCATGGCTACATTACAGTTAGAATATGTCCACCAGGGTGAGCAGGGAGCAGTCATACCTTTGGAGGAAACCCCTGCACCTATTTCAATGTCAGGCTCTTCCACGACCATACCTTCTTGGATCGGCGCACCGCCAGTGCCCCCGTATTCGGCGGTGAGCAGCCACTTGCGGTCTGCATCCGTGAGGCGTTCAATCGGAATGATACTAATTCCGGTTTGATAGTCACTGCAGTCACGTGGTCCAAATCCCACTCCCCATTTGGTCTGCAGGGCAAATGTCAGTTCGGTTCTATCTTGCTTTTCAATTCGCTGCCAATACGCAGGTCACTTACGCGGAGTTGCATGTCGCCCACCTTGTACTCTTCCATTCCATCACGGGCACTTTCGGCATCGCGGCGATTAATCATTTTGATGAAAGCATGGCGTTTATCGATATTGACAATGCAGGTCTGAACCACCCCGAATTTACTGAACAGGCCCCTCAAGTGTGCTTCGGACGAGGTGACTCCACCCACGAAGAGTGTCCGACTGAAGACTTTGATGTGACCTTTGGGCAGAGTCGGATCCCATTGTACGTTCTTGGGGCCTGGTGGTGGAAGCTTGTAGTCACTGGGCGGTGTGGTGCTTCGGCGTCTTCTACCCATTGGGCTGCGCTGACGGTAATCAGCTCGCCTGCCATCGCGATCATTACGATATCCATCAGCCCCCGGACTATCTCGGCGACGTCTTGGAGACATATCTCGGCGTCTATCATAGCCAGGAGAGCGTGAGCGACGTCGATATTGACCAGGAGGGGAACGGGTTTGAGCATCACGTGACGACCCAGTTGCTTGAACCTGGCCTGCCCAATTGCTTGCTGGTACAGGAGGCGGAAACGGAAGGCCACTGGCACTCGCAGCGCCACCACCACTACCAGCACCACCGCCTCCTGCGGCCTGCATGTTCAACAATTGTAGAGCGGTCGCCCATTGGTCTGGAGGAACACCTTGACTAGCCAACAGCTGCAAGAGTTGCAGTTGAACTTGTGCTTGAGCCTGAGTATCTTGGCCTAGAGGAGCAGGGTTTTGTGGCACCGTGGGAGCAGGAGCTTGTTGCGGAAGAAACGCAGCAAGTGGATTTGCAGGTACATTTGCAGGACTTTGACTTTGCGCACCATTACTCAATCCAGCGAACAGAGCTCCAAGCTGGTTTACAGCCGACCCATTGGCGGCGACGGGAGCAAGGCCGGGGTTTACGGTACTGTTCGTCAGAGGGATCCCATTCTGCGCGCCTAACAGATTATTCAAACTAGTTTGGGCGGGTGCTGGAATGGCTGGTGGCGCGGTAGTGTTCTGCTTTGCCATATTCTTGAGCGCTTCCAGGATAGCTGACGTGTCCTGCTGCTGGGGAGGTTTTGCTGCCATATTGTCAGTGGTAATCGACTGACCAAGTGGCACGAAACCGGGTGCCGGTGATCCTTCAGGTGTGGTTGAGACTGCGTTACAGTTAGGTTTGATCCGTTTCGGGTGCGAGAGAGATAGAATTTTGAATATACCTTTAGGCGCATCAAGCTTTTCTTTGAGTGAAGCAAGCAAGGGAGTTGGAAACGTGTTCGACCGCTCCCAAATTTCTAAAAGCTTTCTGATTTTGACCTAAACAGAGGTGGTCATACGTGAGTCTCGATCAAAGCAGCCAGGCAAACAACAATAAGACTTAGGTGGTGGTGTACGGGTAATCTGGTCGCGTGGAGTGCGTGTCGAACTTCAAAATAGTTTAAGAGGAATACGACAGACATAGAATGGCATACCTTCTGGTCTTCTGGAGCGGTAGCAATAATGTCGTTCATGAGTACGGGCAGCAATTCAGTCACTCGAGTCACACCAGCGGCAAAGGTTCCATCAGGAGCTCCGCTACCCAGCTGTTGACCTGATTTTCTGGCTTGATCTACCCATTGTCTCGTCACTGAATCTATCACGTAGAGAACCCCCAATTTGTGTGTTCCTGGTGTCTTCTTGAAATGGGTATAGATCTTTTGAATAAGGACTGATTCGGACTAGAAGTCACGTCAGTTACAGGAGGCGCGACGCACAAAGCTGAAAAATCGACATACTTGGATGTTTGATGTACAAAGTGTGGTGATGGCAGTGATCTTTGAGCCTGAAACTCCTGGTGGCTTGAGGTTGAGCATGGACTGCAGGATCGAGTCCAGCTCCGCTACTGCGGACGACATGATGGAGCGCCGAGCTCTCCTACAGCAGGTGATGACACAAGGTGTTGAAGGAGGAAACTGACCCTGGCAAGGTGGAAGACGGCGAAAGGGGCGAAGTTGAGTCGATCAACGCATACAGAGTCTTCGATCGACAAAGACGTCTTACAGACTCGAGGTACAGGTGAAGTGAAGGATGATGTGCGGTGCAAGAGTGTAGTCTTTCCCCCCAAATTCTTCCTTTTCCCTGCTAAGTGTAGATTGCGCCCACAAGACTTCTACAGCGAGGTGGCAACTGCGGCCTGGCAGCGGCAGTATTGAGGAACTAGCGGCCGTGTGCAGAGAAGAATACTGGTAGAGAAGCACTTTACGAGCTGATGAGACTATGTGCGTGATGAAGGCGAAGAAAAGGAAGTCAAACGCGATGGATGGTGCGTCGGTTGGTGATGCCTGAGTGATGAGATGGTGATGAGATGAAGTGAAGATTTGAGCACGAGTTGAAAGGGCGTCGCAGATAGAAAAAGCGGAGGCTTGAGAAACAGCCTAACCAGCCAAACTAGCCGGCCGGAATAATATTGTTGCCAGCTTTTCACGTGATCAAAGATTGAAGGCGTACGGGGCATTGGGGCGTCCAATCTTCTTCGGACTGCGAAGTTGGCATCCCTAGTAGGGCTTGCTGAGGCCCGCCCGTGCCGCTGTTGGCTGGCTATTGAACCCCAATTGGCAAACCCTGACCTTATTGAAGGAGAGGTCATCCGGCACGCCGAAGCCTTGCTCGTTAAGCGGCCCCCAAGTGGGCCATTTTCATCATTCAATAATTCAACAGGGACAGCTTTCTCCTCCCTAACTTTCCTATCTGCACCTGCACCTTTTTTTTTCCCGCACTCCTTCATAAAGCTCCCTTGACGTAGCATTCTTCTTGACCTTCTTTTGCTTCGACTACCTCGTGTTGTTACTATCATGGCCTCCTCTCTTCGCCTAGGGAGCTCTTTGCTCCGTTCATCAACCAGACCTTTGGTCCAGAAAGCCGCCTTCAATGGCGTGCGCTGCGCAAGCACCCAAGTGAGCTATTCGAACTGACTTTGCTGAGAGCTCCCTGACTAACACCTCCCTCCTTCTTTAGTCCCTAAAAGAGGTCTTCGCTGCTAAACTCCCTGGCGAGATTGAGAAAGTCAAGAAGCTGAGAAAGGACTATGGCTCAAAAGTCATTGGCGAAGTTACACTGGACCAAGTCTACGGTGGTGCTCGAGGCATCAAGTCTCTAGTCTGGGAGGGTTCCGTGCTTGACTCAGAAGAGGGTATCAGATTCCGTGGAAGGACTATACCTGAATGCCAGGAAGTGCTCCCTAAGGCTCCTGGAGGCGAGGAGCCTCTGCCAGAAGGGCTGTTCTGGCTTCTTCTGACCGGCGAGGTTCCCAGCGAGCAGCAGGTCCGAGACCTGTCTGCCGACTGGGCAGCTCGATCTGATCTTCCCAAGTTCGTCGAGGAACTCATCGATCGTTGTCCCAGCGACATGCACCCAATGGCTCAGTTTTCGATTGCCGTTGTTGCACTCGAGCACACCTCGGAGTTCGCCAAAGCCTACGCCAAGGGCATCAATAAGAAGGACTACTGGTCATACACTTTCGAGGACTCGATGAACCTCATTGCCAAGCTGCCCACGATTGCTGCGAAGATCTACCGTAACGCATACAAGGATGGCAAGGTGGCCCCTATCCAGAAAGACAAGGACTATGGCTTCAACTTGGCCAACCAGCTTGGCTACGGCGACAACGCTGACTTCGTTGAGCTTATGCGTCTCTATCTCACCATCCACTCTGACCATGAGGGTGGTAATGTCAGCGCACACACCACTCATTTGGTCGGAAGCGCTTTGAGCTCTCCTATGCTCTCCCTTGCTGCTGGTCTCAACGGTTTGGCCGGTCCTCTCCACGGTCTGGCCAACCAAGAAGTCTTGAACTGGCTCACCAAGATGAAGGAGAGCATTGGCGATGATCTCAGCGACCAAAAGATCACCGACTACCTGTGGGAGACCCTGAACGGTGGCCGTGTCGTTCCTGGCTATGGTCATGCCGTCCTCCGCAAGACGGATCCCCGCTACGTGTCTCAACGCGAGTTCGCTCTTCGCAAGCTCCCCAATGACCCCATGTTCAAGCTGGTCAGCCAGGTCTACAAGATCGCCCCTGGTGTTTTGACAAAGCACGGAAAGACCAAGAACCCATACCCCAACGTTGATGCTGTAAGTTGATCATTGGAACCAATTTTCGACTGCGCTAACATGTGAACTAGCACTCCGGCGTCCTCTTGCAATACTACGGATTGACCGAAGCCAACTATTACACTGTCCTCTTCGGTGTCTCGCGCGCCCTGGGAGTCCTGCCGCAACTTATCATCGACCGTGCTCTCGGTGCACCCATCGAGCGCCCCAAGTCCTTCAGCACCGAAGCCTATGCCAAACTCGTGGGTGCTTCATTGTGATCTGGACATGAAGAGCGGGGGTTGTACAATGCAAAACATACTTGTACGTCTAAACGGGACAAGGGGATAGGACAATGCGAGGTCGGGTCTGGTCTAGGGTGAATCTGTTTCGCCGTTCAATTACGCCATTATTTAATTGACGAGCGTTGTTGGATGCGAATACCATATTTTACTTTGTGCCCATCGCCTGCCAATCCGCCACAAGTATTCTACGTGCCCAGATGCCGTACACCCTTTCGTAGAGCCCAGTGTTAAGGAGCCATGGGGGCCGCGGTGTCTTTGCGAGACATCGTTGCGTGGACTGTGCGACGTAAAATTTCCTGAAACTTTTATTTTCGGATGGTTGAGAAGCGCGTTGGCGGCGTTGGGTGGCCCTAGGAGGCTAAAGGAGGCCGGCAGACCCACATTTTAGGGAGGCGGCGTCCGAAATCTAGGGGCGATGCCTGGAAGGATGGAGCTTGGGGGTGAAATGGAGGCTCCGGCCACCTCAGCTAAGAGACATGTGTCCGCTCAACACGCCGAACGCCTAAGCCACTAATCTGCTTTTGGCCCGAATGGGGGTTTGGTCGAGGCGCCTGCGCCGATATTCTACGGGATGGTCAACTCGTCCTTCTTCGCCGAGGGAGCTGAACAAAACCATCTCGGACTTGTGGTGACTGCGATCACTGTCAGACCAATTCCTACTCGTACTCTTGTGTCTTTCTTAAGCTCCGCTGCTTTTTTGGTTGTCTCTTATACTCCGGACAACGAGCTACGTACCGCAATAGCCATTTCGTGTCTGTATCTTTGCATCATTCACACCGAGGCAATCCCCCTGTCGCCCAGCAGTACCTCCCTCCCTCTCATTAACCCTCAAGGCGACGAAGCCGACCTCATCCCTTGGTCAGGGTAGACAAGCTCGCATATCCGCCAACAATGTCCGCAGAAGCAGTTCTGGCACCTGCGCCTGCAGCGCCCAAGATTGAAAAGAAGCCCGTCAAGTTCAGCAACCTTCTACTTGGCGCTGGTCTCAATATGTTCGAGGTCACTACACTGGGACAGCCTCTGGAGGTCGTCAAGACCACCATGGCCGCCCACCGAACTGACACGTTCGCTGGAGCTATGTCGCGGATATGGGGACGTGGTGGTGTTTTTGGATGTAAGGCACAAAGCACCCAATTCTACCCTGGAGAAGACCTCGGCTGATTTGATCTCTCGAAATGCATAGTCTACCAAGGTCTCATCCCGTGGGCCTGGATCGAAGCCTCTACCAAGGGTGCTGTCTTGCTCTTCGTCGCCTCCGAGGCTGAATACTACGCAAAGACCTTTGGGGCCAACAACTTCCTCGCCGGGATCACGGGTGGTATGGTCGGTGGCATGGCCCAAGCCTATGCAACCATGGGTTTCTGCACATGTATGAAAACCGTGGAAATCACCCAGCACAAACTGGCCGCACAGGGTGTAAAGCCCCCCTCTACGTTCACGACTTTCGCAAACATCTACAAGAAAGAGGGCATCCGAGGCATCAACAAGGGTGTCAACGCCGTCGCCATTCGTCAAGTCACCAACTGGGGCTCCCGTTTCGGTCTTTCCAGACTCGCCGAGTCAGGTATCCGGAGATTCACGGGCAAGGAGAATGGAGAGAAGTTGAATGCGGGAGAGAAGATTTTGGCCAGTGGTCTCGGTGGTGGTCTGTCCGCCTGGAACCAGCCCATTGAAGTCATCCGAGTCGAGATGCAAAGCAAGTCCAATGATCCTAATCGACCAAAGAACTTGACCGTCGGGAAGACGTTGAACTACATCTACAGCACCAACGGTCTGAAAGGCCTCTACCGTGGTGTCACTCCCCGTATCGGACTGGGTATCTGGCAGACAATCTGCATGGTTGCCCTGGGTGATATGTATGCTGGTCCCCTACTGCTATCATTCTGGACTGATATGCTAACCTCTGAACAGTGCCAAAGAAGCCGTCGAGAAACTCACCGGCGAGGCGGTCACCGCAAAGCACTAGGCGACACGCCACTATTCTGGGTTAGGAATCCAGTTGCAGCAGCTTGAATGGATCCCTCAAGTTGAGCGGGGATGAGGACGGGCACGTAATGTCTTTGGGAGGCATCAACGCCCTTCTCTGGGACCTTCTGCACGCATTCGTTTGCCCTATGCAGATGAAAGGTGACTGATTCTAGTTTGGCGTGTGCTGGCGTTTCTCTTCTACCCTGAACGACATAAAAATCTTAGCCGGTTTTGGGTTACCTCTTGCTCTTATTGTTTTGTTTGCTTTTGATTGCCTGGACATGTCACAGCATTAGCTAGTCTGTGAGATGTCAATCAAGGGGATGGAACATAGACGGTGGTTATATCAAGTGGTCCTCGGGCAACAACGGGAGATGGGGACCTATGGACTATGGATGCGCTCGAGGTTCGCTTATTCTATAACGAGTACCCTCGTACTCGACGTTCCACAGAATGAACAGACCATCTTGCACAGGGGACACGACGAATACAAAAGCGTCTTTTTTTTCTTTTGCAGAAATCTCTACCCTTGTACAAGTATGTCTTTAGTGCAGAGTGTAGACCGATATCGCCAAACAACAAAAACGACGACGACGAAACCTCGGGCCGGGAACGCAGGTAAAATACCTGATAGTCAGAAGGATTGATTTCTTGGGAATCCACTCCCTCTTCCCGCCCAGACATTTCTTTGTCCGTCGTTAACCGCCAACCTCAAAGCCGCCGACCGGTGCCCTTTTGCTTTTACTTTTGTGTTGGGTTTGTTTTTTTCTTTTTGCGCGTCCCGATCTTCGGCGAGGGGGTTTGGACTTGGGACTTGGTGTTAGGACTTGGTGCTAGGACTTGGTGCTTGGTACTGGTATGGCTATGAGGTGGTACTTGGTACTTTGGTACCCGGCATGTGGGATTTTGGTTGGGTTGAGTACCTTGTACCTAGTACCTAGGTTGCGAGGTATGTTGAGTTTCGTGATATGCATGTGCATGTGGATTTCCTTCTTCCTCTTTTCTTTTTTTGGGGCGGGCTTGGCTTGAGAGGGTTTGTGTTGGGTTCTGTTGGTGCCTACATAGGTAGAAGGGAGTTGAGGAAGATGGGAAGTGCATACAGTAGGTACTTAACCTCGTAAACTCGTAAATGTCATAATGTGATGGAAAATAAGGAAATACGGGATAATGATAGGGAGAGGGGGAGAGAGATGGTCAAAATTCGTGGCTATGTTCGTCGTATACACAATAATACCCTGTCCTCAAGTGGGCTTCATCCACAGTACGACGACAAACCAGCAAGGAGCTCGTCATTCCCTTACTGTCAAAAACATCCGTGGTCGACAGCCTTGTCGTGCTGGTTCCTGGGTGCTTCTCAACGGGAGCTTCGCTTTCACCATGCCGCCATCAACGGCAAGCCTGTCCATCGCAAACGCTGCTCGACTTCTGGCGCCGCGCAATCTCACCCAACAAGTATGCTGCCTATCACCCCAGCCTGTTGATCAAAGTGGCTGCTAAGGCGCATACTCAACTCCCCACCACGACTTTTTCTGAGCTCGGAGGTAATTGGCTAACCTGACATTCTCAAACAGCTCCACCTGCACTGGGCGCTGTATCTCCGAGTTCAATAACGCCGGCTGTGGTGAATACTTCGTTGAAGAGTGTGTATCAACGACTTCAACCGTCACCATCTCCCGATCGGCATGGATGATGTCTGGATGATCAAGTGTACTGACGTCTTTGCAGAGTGCATCCTTCGGAAGAATCGCCATCGTACCAGCGAAAGTAGGTCGAGCATCGAGAACTTCAAGGACCTGACGGTCGAAGGCTTATCGCGTTCGAACTCGGATCCTTGGGAGTGTCTCTCGAAATCGGAAGGAATTGAGCAGTGGAAAGGCCGCGACCTAATAGTCTGATAGCAGGCCTCGTTTGTCGTTAGCTCGATAGACATGGCGACCATTCATAGAATGGCATTGTGGTCCGTAACAGTGATTCTCGAGTAGATGATGACGAGGGGGCGTTCGCCGCCAAATAGTTCGGACTTGGCTGGATGTTGTGTCCGACTATACTATGGCAATACCACGTATTTCTGCAAATGCTGGGGTATCGCTTCTCTCAGATTCTTGCTTTTGAGCCACTTGTCGCTAAAGAGCCGATCCGCATATCGATATGCCCCGTCGCACAAGACAGTCACAACCGTATGATTGGGTCCCAGCTTTTCCGCGACCTCTTTCGCAGCGACAACGTTCAGCGCGCTGCTGGCTCCAAGATATAGACCTTCTTCATCCAAGCAGCGGTATACCATGGCAATAGTCTTCTCGTCGGAGATATTTAGCGCTCCGTCAAGCTCATTGACTTCCTGCTTCAGGTTGTCCGTCACACGACCTTGGCCAATGCCCTCAGTGATGCTGCTGCCCGTTCTTTCTTTGAGCTGGCCACCAGAAGTGATGTACGAATAGAGAACGGAACCGGGAGGATCTGCCAGAAAGCATTTGACGGAATTATTGCTGACGTCCTTGAGGTATCGAGTCACACCAGCAAGGGTGCCACCAGTTCCAGTCGCAGAGGTGAATGCGTCAATCTTGCCGTCGGTCTGGGCCCAAATTTCTGGCCCTGTCGTGACAATGTGTGCCAGACGATTAGCAGTATTGTCGAATTGATTGGTCCATACAGCACCGTGTTCGGGATCTTCCTTGAGCAGCCTCTCTGCATGTCGTTTTGCTTGCCAATTGTAGTTTTCTGGGTTCTCCCATGCGACAGCTGGAACAGGATATACTTCGGCGCCCAGCAGTCTCAGAAGGTCGATCTTGCCTTGTGACTGGGTGTTTGGCATGTAGATGACCAGTTTGTACCCCCTTGCTCGGCAGACGTGTGCCAGACCAATACCAGTGTTGCCGGCAGTCCCTTCGACAACGGTGCCCCCAGGCTTCAGCAGACCTCGCTCTTCTGCATCTTTGACAACATATAAAGCCGCGCGGTCCTTGACACTGCCGCCGGGGTTTTGGAACTCGGCTTTACCAAGGATGTTGCAGCCGGTTTCGGCGGAGAGCTTCTGTAGTCTTATCAAAGGAGTGTTGCCGATGGCTAGATTCTGGTGAGTACTGGGACCCATGGCTTGAAAGGGGCCTGTGAGGAATACCTCCGGTGAGAGTGTCGACCACCCCTTGAGCTTTGGAGAGACGGATCCCATAAGCATTGACCGACTCGGCAGTTGCCGCACGAGCGGCTGTGGTAGCGAAGCGTCGCACCGACGTCCTCAGAGCGTTAGACATGGCTACAACAATGCACTGCTGGAGAGCGCGAGAATGGAGGAGGAGGGCGACGGGTCTTCCAAGGGGAGCGGATGTGTCTAGATTGAATTGTGAAAATTCCCCAACCAAAGAGCAGCGAGACGATTGTAAGTGTGATGAGCTCCAAAGAAGAAGAAAAATCTCCAATTGCATCATCCAAGCATCCGAGGCTGCTGACATAAGGCGGGCGGACATGACAACAAATGGCACATCAACACCTTTTCTCAGAGTAAAACAAGGCTATACACTCGAGACTACAGTGAACTTTTTGATATGGCATATTTGTCTGCTTCAAACTGATGGGCCTGAACCTTGTGGGAGCCAATAACATGTCTCTTATCCAATTCTCAACATCAAATGACGCGAGACAGAAAGATCCAGAGGGATATATCCCCAGCCATGAGCATAGTCTCCCGTTCTACCCTTCCTTTCCCGTCCACTAACATGAAACTCCTCTACATGATGCGGGATACAGAAGTGTATCGCACACAAACCCCAAAATCTCCGCCGGAAGATCTTTGTTCGACCGGAAAACACCACCACATATCGGACTTATCCGCTAGCTATCGATCGAGTCCATGTCCCTATTGCGATCTATGACCATACCAATGTTCAGAAGCCCAAACTTAACGGCAACCCGTGCAGATGTAATCATTGTACTCTCAAGCACTGTTGGCATCGACTACTGAAAGATTACCAGGAGCCCTTTGAGCTTCTTTGTCCTCGCCCGAGACGCAAGAAACCCCGCCTCGTGGACAATCAGATTGAGAGGAGATTTTGGCCTGGTCTGGAGCAAAGAAAGCCAGGGCCAGACCTTACATACATAACCAGCCTCGCTGAGCTTGAAAACCATGGATCTTGACCTCATCATCCAAAATGCCACCATCGTGAGTCTAGTCCTTGTGACCTAGGTCTGTCCCCATCCCAACTCCATACAAGGCTGAAGACCCCTTTTTTAAATACCAAAGGTTACAGCCACCGAAATCCTCCAACCGGGTCTCAGCATTGGAATCAAATCCGGCCAGATCGTCGCCATTGCCTTTTCTCTCCCAGCCGATGCAAACACTCAGATCATCGACGCAGAGGGCGCGTACGTGACCCCTGGGGGCGTTGACTCCCACGTGCATCTACACCAAGATAATGCCCCAACTGGCGACAAATGGCTCTCAGGATCTCGCTCGGCGCTATGTGGTGGAAATACGACGGTTCTCGCGTTTGCGACTCAACAGCGGACGGATGAGAGTTTGTTTCCCGTGCTGGAAGAGTACCATTCCCGCGCAAGAGGCCAGAGTTATGTGGATTACGGGTTCCATTTGATCCTCACCAGGCCAAGTCCCGAAATCTTAGGCCGGGCGGTCAAAGCAAAAGTCGACGGTGAGCCCAATCCCGGGAATGAGGGAGAGTTGAAAAGACTGGTCGACGAGGAAGGCATCACGAGCGTCAAGTTGTATATGACCTATCCGGTATTCAAATTGGGGGATAAAGACATGCTCGAGGTGATGATGCGGTGCAGAGAAGTGGGTATGACGGTCATGGTGCATGCTGAGAACGCCGATATGATTGATATGTATGTTCTGTTCTCTTTTGGTCCTGCCCAACACAACCTCGCCATCACCTCTATTCCAAAGCTCGTGCCTTACCAGGCATGCCTTCCCGGCTCAGAACCGGCAACAGACCCTGAACATGAATCACTGACAGCGGCGATAGGATAACCACCCGTCTGCTCCAAAACTCCCATACTCTGCCCAAATACCACGCCCTTGCGCGGCCCCAGATAGCGGAGTCGGAAGCCACTTATCGCGCCATTTCGCTTTCCACCCTCACATCCACGCCTATCCTCATCGTCCACATGTCTAGCCCTGCCGCACTGTCCCATGCACGGAAAGCACAATCAAAGTCAATGCTGCCGATCCACGCCGAGACGTGTCCGCATTATATGTATCTGCTGTCGGATAGGCTAGCGACGACCAAATTCCCCGTCATCGACGAAGCCAACGGTGTTCACAGTCATGACCATGGGGATGTCGAGGACGACGAATGGGCAGGCGCACGACACGTCTGCGCGCCCCCCCTGCGCCACGCCGACTCCGACCTGCAGAGCGTCTGGGACAGCGTGAACAACGGGACCATCACGGTGATATCCTCCGACCACGCTCCCAGCCAATACCATCATCCCGCGGGAAAGCGAAAGCCACTGATCGAAGCGCAAAAGACGAACTCGACGCCCGCGTTCGCCCAGATCCCTAACGGCCTTCCCGGCATCGAGACCCGTCTCCCCATCCTCTTCTCCGCCGCGACAGACCCGGACCCATCCATCCCACCGACCAGGAGACTGACACTGCCCAAGTTTGTGGAACTTACCTCGACCAACCCAGCCAAGATGTACGGCCTCTCCGGCCGAAAGGGCAGTATCGCCCCAGGCTACGACGCCGACTTGGTCATCTGGTATCCCCGGCACCACTCTACCACCACCACAACAACAACTGCATCCGACGGAAAAATCAAAATAACAAACGAAATTCTGCACCACAGCATCGACTACACGCCCTTTGAAGGGTTTCGCGTGTTCAACTGGCCCAGGTACGTCCTCTTGAGGGGCCAGGTCAAGTGGAACCGCGACGTCGAGGTCGCTCAGGGGCCCGGCGCGGGCGTCTTGGGAAACCCGAGCGACGGGATGTTCTTGAAGAGGGGGAAAGGTGAGGTGCTCGTCGGAAGGAGTGGGATGGGCAGAGAGCCCGAAGGCATGAAATTCGGGGAGAGGAGTGCGTGGTTGTAGAGTTCTCCCCCCTGGTCGACAGAGTTTCGGTCTATATCACCTATCTCCTATTGAGTTCCGCACCCATTCTGCGCAGTCATGCATCGTGGCTTTACACCGAGGAGCCAGGAAGATCGACTCGGTTGTTAGGTTGGTGTGCCGTAAGCAACGCAGAAAGTCCGAGGAGCGTGGCTATACAAGCGAGGGAGAGAGGGAGAGGGGGAGAGAACATCTACAGAGACCGCGGAGAACCGGGTGTGAATGAGAAGAGACATTCCAGATGAGGAGCCGCTAGATAGTCTATAGAGCTTCAAAAACAGATTCTTTTGTATTTTGTGGTTCGCGCCCTTCTTATCCTTCGTCACTACATGGCAAGCAAGCACAATCTCCGATGATGGGTGATTGCTCATTGCGCATTGCAAGAGGAGAAGATTACCAGTCTATCTAGCATGACCAGGCTTAAGAAGACGCCACAGCATCCCAGGAAGCGATCACAGAATCGTTCTCTGCCGCAGGGCTTGAGCTGTTTGGCCAGGTTCATGACAAGACCCTCTCTATCATTGAAATCATCACTCGTGCTCGTTCATCTGGTTTCCACAGGTATCCAGCTTTTTTCTTCCTCTTGCCCTGTTATTCTATTCTATTCCTTCCCCGTTGGTATCTTGAAAAAGACCCCCTTCGACTCCTTGGTTGGAGCCTTGTCACATCTAAAGTAGCCCTTGCGGTCAAATTGAATGACGTCGTTCTCCTTGACATCCCATACATTGCAGTCAGCCAACGCAGTAGAGGTGAAGACGCTCTTGGGTGTTAGAAAGTCTTCCCAATGTGCTTCCTCCTCCTCTGTCAGCTTGTCCTTGGACAGCAAATGGTCGAAATCTTCGAGTTGGACGGGACAGAGGTCTTGGTCCTTGGAAAGCCACGTGACCTTCTTCTTTGTGGTTTTGAAGTCGCCGTCGAGGTGGAGTTCGAGCTCGAGGGAAGCGACATTCCCCAGTGCGTTGACGCCGTCGGCAATGTCTGCTTTGTCGGTGGGTTTCTCATACTGGATGTCACGAACGTACACGTTTCCCCAGTTCATGAGCGTAATCTCTTCGTCTTTGGCGAATGTCCGGGCATCCTCTTGCTCGATGATGATGCTCGAGCTGTACCATACTTTCTTTTCTCCGAGATCGTACTTGGCGTGTTTGGGTTTGATCTCCGAGTATGGTGTATCTTGTGGGAGACCTTTGACCTTGCAAACAACACGTTTGTCGTCAATCGCGGTATATCGTGCACTCGTCTGATCAATAACTTTCTTATTCATGGTCCAGATGGTATGCCAGTCCATATTAACCACATTCTTGCTGGGTCCCTGACTGACCATGAAATCCCGCAGACCCTCAACAGTCATGCCGCGACGTCGGATACCCCTTACAGTAGGGAGGCGTGGGTCGTCCCAGCCCGATACGATACCGGCGTCCACGAGCTTTGTCAGCTTTCGCTTCGACATGAGCGTGCGCACAAACTGAATCTTGGAAAAAGTCCAGATATAAGGAGACCGCAGATCGATAGCCTTGAGAATCCACTTGTATTGCGCATCTTGGTCGTTGTATTCAGTCGTCCTCAGAGCGTGAGTAACACCCTCGATAGAATCCACAATTGGGCAAGCAAATTGATAGGTAGGATAGGCTTTGTATTTATCGCCCGTTCGGTGGTGGTGGGTCTGGTTTTTTGGACACCGGAAAATCACAGGATCTCGGAGAGAGGCATTGTCGTTGGCATGGGATATCTTTGCTCGAATACACCATCGCTTTCCCTCTTCGGAACCCTTTTTCATCTCCTCGTACCTTGCCAAGTTATCCTCGACGCTGTCGTCTCTATGGACACTGGGCTCACGTGCCATTCTTTGTGCGCTCATCACGTCGGCAGGGGTGTCGTCTGCGTAGGCCTTACCAGCAGTAATGATCTTCACACAGTACTCATCGATTTGGTCAAAGTAGTCGCTTGTGTAAGAGATCACGTCAGGCTCGATGCCCAAAAGAGCGACGTCCTCGCGGATTGCATCTTGATATTCAACGTTCTCTTTCTCAATGTTTGTATCGTCGAACCTCAGGATCAATTTGCCACCCGGATACTGAATGTGAGCAAAGTAGTCATTGAGTAAAGCAGCTTTCGAGTGCCCTATGTGAAGGTATCCTGAAGGCTCTGGAGGGAATCGAGTGACTACGCCTGCGGCGGCATTGGGTAG